GGTTGGTGGGTGTTTTCGTCGTGGTGGTGGTGGTGGTGGTGGTGATGATGATTAAAAACATGTGCGTGCTTGCGTATAATACATAAATATATGCCATGATACTCTCTCTGAATCATATAACATGTAAGAATATGCCATGATACTCTATTATTGCTATACTTGCATGTCATGCCTTGTTGTTTTATAATTTGTTACTTTATGTAAAATTCAGTTTTTGATGATGTACGTATTGCTCTATAACGTTTTATTTATATTTTTAGGCTGGGACTTCTCGACAAGGTGGAGTTGGTGATGAGGATGATGATGATCGGGATTGGTTTTACTTGTTTTAACATTGAAAACAATGGGTATGCTGTATAAATAACATTTATAATGTTGGGATATTTATTATGTTTTTAGTGAAATAATTGTTATATATGCGTGAGAATGAAATGTGTTATATGTGCTTGTGTTGTGTAAATTTATTGTACATGTTATTATTGTGTTATTACTGTGAAATATATTGTACAGGAATTTCAAATTTTCAAATAATTTTTTAAAAATTTTCAGATTACTTTTAGCGATGGAATATCCGTCGCTAAAAGCTCTTTTAGTGACGGAAAACTGACACGCCAACATGCACTAGTACAACTTTTGGCGACGGGTTTTCCGTCGCCAAAAAATATAGCGACGGATTTTCCGTCGCCAAAAAAAGTAGAATTTGGCGACGGATTTTCCGTCGCCAATAATAAATAGCGACGATTAAATATATAGCGACGGAAAATTCCGTCGTCAAAAAAATATACATAAACGATGGATTTTCTGTCGTTATATACCCGTCGCTGATATTTAGCGACGGATTGGCCGTCGCTAAATGTTGATTTAGCTACCATGAATATAGTGACGGTGTTTTAGCGACGGAATTTCTATTTTTCCGTCGCTAAAACATTTAGCGACGGAATTTCGACTTTTGGCGACGGATTTGTCCGTCGCCAATAGTCCCCTTTGCAGTAGTGGATCCCCAAAGAGCCAGCTCCAGCCAGCCGAATATCTCTTCTTTGCTGTTCAAAAAGAAGGATCCGAACTCAATTGAGTTTCGAGGTATTTATAGGGGATTAAGGGGGTGTAACCGCCCCCTTAATTTGTCCTCAATGGGCTGAGTGGGGTGTAACCGCCCCCCTTAAACAGCTCCCCAAATCGTGGGGAAAACGGTTTTAAAACCGCTCTGTTAGTGCTTTGAACGAGTCAAAACGCCAATCTGGGCGTTCTGGGCCGAACTCTACGTTTTAGACTAAAAAACGCAGAGTTGAGCCTATTTTGGGTGGCTGAACGCACAGGCCACGATGCGTTGTGAACTCTGAAACGCAGAGTTGGTACGTTTTAGGCTGAAAACGCACAGGTCGCGTAGCGTTGTGAACTCTGAAACGCAGAGTTGGGACGCAGAGTTGAGCTCTGCATGAACTGTGCGTTTTTGGACCTGGGACGCAGAGTTGAGCTCTGCGTTTTAAGTCCACAAACTCTGCGTTTCGAGTTTGGAACGCATCCACGACTTCTGTGTTTTGAGTTTGGAATGCAGCTACGACCTCTGCGTTTTAAGTTTAGAACGCGGGGAGGACCTCTGCGTTTTGAATCTGGAACGCGGCCATGACCTCTGTGTTTTGAGTTTAGAACGCGGGGACGACCTCTGCGTTTTGAATCTGGAACGCGGCCATGACCTCTGCGTTTCGAATCTTGGATGCAGAGGTGAGTCTCAGGCGGGCTCGGTGAGTTTCAGGCTAAGTCCAATGTTCAGACGAAGTCCAGTCTTGCAGACGGACTTTAGAACATGACTTGCTGTGAAGAACAGGTCATAACTTTCAAACCGTAAGTCGGAATTGGACGAATTATATATAAAAATCGGCTATCTCGACGAGACGGAGCCATCCGAACTAAGCTAAAGGCTTTGGTTTGCTTCCTCCATTTCGCCAAATTCCTTACTGTTTGAGAGATATATGCGTTTTAATATGAAGAGACCGTCAACTTGTAGTCTCTTTTGCTAGAGCGTTGCAAAGATCGTCACCTTGTAACCTTTGTCTTGGCTCCTTAAAATATAAGAGTCATCAGATTGTAACTCCCGATGTTAATTGTGAAGGCTGTTGAATTAGAGCTTTCATCAGTTGTCGTGAAGGTCGTCAGATTGTAACCTTCAGCGATCTACGTTAAAGTCCTCAAATTGTAGCCTTATGGAAGTCGTCAGATTGTAACTTCCGTCATCGATGTTTGATGGGGATCAGCTATCTGTTATGATTTTTAGACAGCCTACAGAGATAGGGTTAAGCCCATAGATGAGGTCACTGACTGCGGCAACCCAATCCTTATTTGGAGACGTACTCCCAATGTTGGTTCAATGTGGTAGAAACAAGCTGGACTAGTGACACTCGTGTGGAGCATCGACCCAGATATATTCATATATCACTATGTAGCTTGTGCTACTACCCCTTCTCTATGATGACGATGCTCTTATGATACAGCTGGCTAGGCTGAGTTTTACTCTTAATAAGTCCAACGTGTGTATTAAGGGGGGTATTAAATAAACAGCTGTAGTACCCTTTGAGGACTTACCTACGTGAGAGGAACTGTGATGGTCGCGGTTAGGGGGGGCTGGGCTAACCCCTAGAAACTCTCATGAGTCGGTTTATTGTGAGCATGGCCTTTAACGCTCAACCCGCTTTGCTCAATAGATGAAGACGTATTGTGTGTGTTTTTATCAATACCTGATTCAAGGGGCCTAATTCAAGGCTTAGTCCATTATGTCCCTCACGTGGCGATGAACTCACTAAGGAAAGGTTCAAAGCCGAAAGCTACCTCTCCCGAATTCACGATACGTAAGGTTGCCCAACCTATATTTGTTTTATGATTTCTTGATTTATTTATTGATTGTTGATTACTGAGTTTTCAGTTAATATTGCCTTTTGGGGGGGACTGTTGGATATTTTATTAAAGAAAAGGCAATTTAACATGTTTTACATATTTTATTTTCCTCGGTAATTAATACATGCATAATGGCTATATAATTATGGCGAATGTTACCGTATTAATTACAGGTTTATTGCGTAACGGTCGACATTATGGCGTACCACTGCTGGATTTTCACCCTTTAGCGACGGAAAATTCTGTCGCTAAAGGCCTAAAATCCGTCGCTAAAACTTTTAGAGATGGAAAAAATAAAATTCTGTCGCTAAAAGTTCGACGCTACATTCAGGGTCCCTAATTGCGGCTTTAGCGACGGAATTTCCGTCGCTAAAGTTCAGCGACGGGGTATTAGCGACGACAAATTCATCGCCATTTATTTTTTTAAAAAAATAAAAAAACATTAGCGACGGAATTTCCGTCGCTAAAAATGGTATTAGTGATAGCATTTCCGTCGCTAATAATTTTTTAGCGACGAAAATTTTGTCGCTAATTTTTTTAAAATTATTTTATTTTTTTCCCGTGCACGTTTTTCGTTGCTAAATACATATTTAGCGACGGAAAATCCGTTGCTAATGTTTTTTTATTATTTTATTTTTTTCTGTGCATGTTTTCCGTTGCTAAATATATATTTAGCGACGGAAAATCCGTTGCAAAATATCTATTTAGCGACGGAAAATCCGTCGCTAAAATAACCAATAATTTTTAAAGAAATATTTTGAAAATTATTGAAAAAACAATGTACAATATCGATACTAATTTTAAAAAACCTGTTCAATCAGCAGTATAATATTCAATCTCACGCATATATCACACATTTATTTCAATAAAAACAAATAAAAGTTTCCTGACGGGTACATAATAAATATTGTTTATACAACACAAGAAATTGTTTTTAAAGTTAAATTAATTACAATCAATCCTCCTGATCACCATCATCATCTTCATCCTCAACACCAGCTGCATTATGACTACCCCCGGCTGCACCTTGTGAAGAAGTCCCGGCCTGCAAATATAAATCAAACGTTAACAAGCGTATGTAACCGTTAATAAGAGTGCAAATATAAATATAATTCCCCCAACACAACAACACAACACAACACAACATAACACCAAAACACCATAACACAACAACACAACACCACAATACCACAACACAATAACACATAACACTACACAATACAAAACAGCACAACACAACACTACACACCATACCACAACACAACACAACACAACACAACACCACAACCAACCAACCCCACCCACCAACCAACCACACTTCCCCTCCTACGCACGCACGCACCATCAACACCACAATCACATAAAAACATTATAAGTATATATTTTGGGCTTTGTGTTAGGGTTAGAGTTAGGGTCTGTGTGCAACAGTTTGTATCAGTGTGTATCGGTGTGTATGATATCATCTAGTCACGAAGAAAATTCATAACTAAGTAAGAATTATATATTTAATTTATTTAATTAAAAAAAGTAAAGTATATATATTACCTGATCCTTCATAAACCGTCTCCTATATGCCTCCTGAGCCTCCTGAGGCAGAGTGGACATGAATTGTGTGAACTCCAATTCTCTCTGCTCCCGGCGCCTCCGTTCTTCCTCCGCAATCCGCTGATATGTTGTTTGCTGCGACTGCCAATCTTCAATCGCTTTCAACCGCTGCTCCAACGAGTCTTGATATGAACTGCTTCCTGGTGTTCTTGGTGGTGCTGCAGACTCGTAGGTGCCACTAGACTCGTGCGGCCTCTGCTCAGATCCTCTCCACCGGTATCTGTTCTTCCTACTAGGTCCAATGACCGTCTCGATGATGGAGTCCTCCTCCTCTCTACTTAGCCGGGCAGGAGTATTAGAACCGACCTGAGACAAAGACATTTGCTCCTGTACCTTGGCATGTAATTTCTCCTGCGATATATCAAAACAACCCAGGCAAGTCGACTTACTAATGATGCATTGTTATGAAATTGAATATATAAATGAACTGCTACTTACAGCCAGATCCTTATTCTTTGCTTTCTTCTCTTCATCGGCGTAATTCGGGCTCCAGGAAGTCAGAATACGATCTGCAAAATGTTCGAGATCTCCCCTTCCCTATTTTATTCAAATATATCATTAACCCATAACACATAAATTATACTCAACTTAAAAGCTAATATATATATATACCTCAAGCTCCAATTGATGATAATGCTGGCTGAAGGACCTGGAGCCCCCGTGACGCTCGTAACTGCGGGGCGCGTTGCGTTTACTCCTTGCTATTTCAGCTTGAGCCTGCAAAACAATGTCAAATCAAAATAATATAGAAATTCAAACAATAAATTAAAAATATATACTTCAATAATACCTGAATTTTAGCTGTGTCCCAGTAATCGCAAAGTGCAAAAAAATCTACTCCATCCACACGCTCGTCAAGATGCCAGAATCGCTCCCAATCTTCTGTTATTTGAACAAAATATTTTTTCCACCTCAAACCGTCATCTCTTGAACGATAAATTGATTTGCGTGAAGCAGTAAGTCCAGGCACAAATATTATCGTCAAGAAAAAAAATCGCTTCAGCATATAAAGAAAAAAATAGATACAAATCAGTGTATTAAACATAATAATAAACTAATAACTAATAATGATAAAAATTAAAATAAACGACTCACACATATATATCTCCAACAAGCCACCAGCGCATCAATCCGCTGCGACTTCCACGTTAAAAAAAATATTGAAGAAATCTTGTCTCCTGGCTACCGCGGCGAGGAAATTGTTAAAAGCATTGGCAAAAGCCCCGACAGGCACTCCGTTTTCCCATCGGATCACGACCCTCCGATGAATATCAAGGATGATGCTCTGTTCCTTGGTAGCATTGCGGCCGCGCCTAGGAGGTCACCCGGTACCTACGAAAGAATGAATCGGATGAAACAATGAATCAATCCATATTTGCTATTAAAATTTAAAATAATAACCGATAAACTATAAAAATCTATTAATACCTTTCAGTTCGAGGCATCTACGGCTTGCTTGTTCGTACCAATGCTGCGCGATAGGGCGCAAAGCATGATAAGAATCCTAATCCCCCTTCACCTTGGCCGGACTGTGGACTCGTTGATCTGTAATAGAATCTGACGGTAGTGCCGCAGCTTCTAGAATTATGCTATATACATCTGCATGCGGTGGCGGCGGTATCTCCGCATGCTGTGTAGGATCAGCCTGTGTCTCCACGTCATATGGAGCATCTCCGCGTGATGTGTCCTGTGGCTGCGAGTCATGTGTAGCATCTCCTCGTCCTATGTAGTAAATGTTAAAAAATGTTAGGATCACGTTAATAGTTTATAGAAATGTACAGATATAACAAATAAATAAAAATACCTGACGTAGAGGCATGTGCGTCGCCTCCAGAATGTCTACCGCAAAGTCTCTCAAGCGCTTTCTTACGTAATCCTTTTATCATCTATACTTTGAAAACATAATGAATATCCAACAAAAGCATATAATGCAAATAATTAATAAAATAGAAAATGGTAACAGAATCGCGTGTACATGATGTCCAGTCAAACAGATAATATAAAGACAATAATATAATACATGACATACCGTGATACATGATAACCAATCAAACAGATAATATAATATAATACAATAAATGTTCTTTTTAATTCATAACCTAGTATTACATTATTATGATGATATTGAGGTGGGGAATTCTACGGCTCAAAAATATGAGTGTACAGTGTGTGCAGTTTCTATGTAATTAGCGATAAAATAGTTACACTAACCCCTCATCCTCACCCTCACCCCCACCCTCACCCTCACCTAACCCTAACCCTAACCTTCAACCTCACCATCACCCCCACCCTCACCCTCACCTAACCCTACCCTAACCCTCACCTTCACCCTCTCCTAACCCTAACCCTAACCCTAACCTTAACCCTCAAACTCACCCTCACCCCCACCCCCACCCCCCACCCCCACCCTCACCCTCACCGATCCCTAACCCTCACCCTCACCTTAACCCTAACCCTAACCCTAAACCTCAATCTCACCCTCACCCCCACCCTCACCCTTACCTAACCCTAACCCTCACCCTCACCTTCACCCTCGCCTAACGCGCTAACGCATAAACCCGTAAACCTTAACCTCAAACTCACCTCAACCGGCTGCACCACCGTTCACACCTCTCCTAACCCTAACATACCCTAACGCTTAAGCCCTCAAAGCTCACCCTCAACCGGTTTCAACCTGCTCCTCAGCAAACCCTGAACATAACCCTAACCTTAACCGACGTCAACCTCACCCGCCACCCTCGGCACTTGACCCCACGAGCACCCGACTGCACACCCCCACGCCCACCTACCGGGGAGTACTCCCTCACCCTCACTCCTGCACCGATCCGGTAAACCTAGAACGCGCTAATCGCTATACCATAATGTCCATAGAGCCTAGAACGCCTCGCGCTAACCCTAAATGCGCTAACTCAAACTCAAGCCTAACGGCCTAACGGCCTAACCGCTCACCTGCACCTGCACGCTTCCCCTAAACCGGAATAACCGTAACCTTAACCCTGCAAACACTCACCCTCACCCTCAACCTAACCCTAACCCTCACGCCTCAACCCTCCACCCTTCACGGCCTCCCCTCACGGCCCACCTCCACTCCTCACCCGTTACGCCCTTCCTAAAGCCCTAACCCTAACCTGTCATCTAACCCTAATCGCTAACCGGCAAAGCGGCGCAAACCGCGGCAACCTAAACGCCTAAACGCGCTAACGCCTTCAAGCCTGCACGCAATCACGCGCCTACCCTCACCTAACCACCTAACCAAGGCTGCGACGCCTCACCAATCTCACCCTCCAGTCTAAACTCAAACCATAAAACCTTAACCCTCAAACTCAGCCCTCAGCCGGGGGGACGGACTTCACCCTCGGCACTAAACTCTAACCATAACCTTAACACAAAACGCAGTGGACCCCAAGGTGGTCGCCTCGTGCAACGCTCACCCCTCACCGCCTCACCGCTAACCGTCGCCACCTAATCCCTAATCCTAACCTAACCCTAATCCTAACCCCTCACTCTCTCACCCATCACCCGAGGTGGAGCCCCCCTCAGCTTAACCGCTAATCTCCTAACCCAAACCCTAATCCTAAAACTCTAACGCCTAACCGCTCACCGAAACCCTAACGCGCTAACCCTCGCTATAACCGTAAGCGGGCCTAACCATAACCCGTATTAGAATTTAAATTTTTTTTAATATTATAAATTTCATCAGATGAAATTTTTTATTAGGGTTTGGGTATTTTGTTGCATAAATTTTTTGTTTTGCCAAAATTAAACTCTAATTGTAAAAATTAAACTAATAATTGTAAAAATTAAAGCTATTAAATTAGCAAATAAATTAAGAAATCTCTGCTTTCTCTCCCGTGCCGCTCCCCCCGCCCCCAATCTCTCCTTTCTCTGCCCTCGTCTCCTCGGTGCGGCCGACGAGAGAGAGGGAGAGAGCAGGGAGAGGATTGAGAGGGGGGGAGAGAAAGAGAGATTGAGGGGGGTGGAGAGAGATTGAAGGGTACCTTGAGAGAGAGAGAGGGGCGACAAGAGGAAGACGGCGTGGAGGAAGGGCGGGAGCGGTTTGGAGGAAGGGCGGCGAGCGGAGGGGAGAGGAGGTGAGCAACGATATCATAGGGGGAAGGGGGGAATGAAGAGAGAGGGGGAAGATGGAGACAGTGGGGGGGGAGAATGATCGGGAGTAGAGGTGACAGTGGGGGGAAATATCGAGCGCGGGCTGCCCAAAAAATTTGGGCGCCTACGCCCAAAAAATTTCGTCCAGGCTTTTTTTAGCGACGGAAAATCCGTCGCTAAAAAAGGCTTTAGCGACGAAAATTTTTCGTCGCTAAAAATTCGTCGCTAAGGTTTTAGCAACGGAAAATTTCCGTCGCTAAAATCATATTTTCCGTCGGCAAAGAGTTTTTACCTACGGAAAAATAGCGACGGAAATTTCCGTCGCTATATGTCATGTTATAGCGACGGAAATTTTCGTAGCTATTTTTCCGTAGGTAAAACTCTATTTTCTAGTAGTGTACGTTACTGTATTGATTGCTAGGATTTGTAACGGCTCTCTAAGACCCTTATATAAGCAGCCCTTCACATTCTCGTAAAAACAATAAGAAAAACAACAAGTCTCTTCTCTCCTCTTCATATTATTTCTTCATAGTATTGGTTTTATTTTTGGGCAACTTTCTTCATCTGAGCAGAAGCTCTGTACTCTCGCCCTAGTACAGAGGCCGACCGGTTCCGGGGGTTTTTATCGCTAGGGGAGAGGGGATCATCTGCGCCAGGGCGATAGGCGGGTCCTCAATCTTCTAGGGCAGTGAATACACGACTGTTCCCGATCAGACCAGATTTAATTGTTTATTTTATTCGGATTTATTTCATGCTATAACCTTTAAAGTTGATAAATTTCCAACAGTTACTTGAGTGGGAAAGTGGCGAACTATAGCAGTTCTTAACCGCAGTGGAATGGAGAAAAATGTTTGGACAATTGCTTACCTTTATGTTGAGAATAATTTTTCCTTTTACGACAATGAAGGAAGGACATTTTGGTCTCTTCGTCCGAGTTAGAACTGGCAGTCGAGTCAGCTTTGACTTTACAGATGTCAGGCACGGAGTGGACGTGGTCACTTCGGTATTTAATGAGATGGGATAGACGACGTGCGAAGTCGGCGTGGTCCGATGTGCCATAAATAATATTTGGGATGGAGAAATGATGTCGTCTGTCACGTATTTTATGTGATGTCGACGCGCTGTCAGCGGGGAGCTCGAGGTCGTAGTCGCCTTTTGTCTCGTATGAAAGGGTGTCAAGAGGTGCCGCCTTTCGAGTCGGCTTTCGTCAGATGTCGGCCAGATAATTAGTCGAGTAGGCTTGCGGCGAGTCATCTTCGACGAGAGGGTCGGTCAGTACCGCCTTTCAGATCGACTCTGGCAAGATGCCAACTCGACGAGTAGACTGAATCGGGACTTTGGCTATCCCAAGCGTCGAGCTGGCCGAATTAGGTGTAACGAGGGATCCTAATCTTGGCGATTAAAAACACCATAACAAGAGTTTTACTGTAAAGGTGTATCCACCAATATCAAACTTAAGAAGTACCCTTTAAAATTTATTAATCTGCTTAACTTGATCCTGATGCATCACCTGCACTTCCTTTCACAATCTATTCGTCAAGTACACATACATGTATAGTAACTGCTTTCACTCGATCACCAGAAGTAGAGCAATACGTGTGAACACCCAAAGAAACACAAACATTCAATTAATTTATATACCAACTAATCTCTTATAATTACAATAGTAATAACAACAACAAATTAATTGTTAAGTATACAAGATAATGATTAATTAGGGTACTAATCTACAAGTTAGCGTTATTAATGAGTAATTAAGGGGTGTAGAGCCTATTGCCGCATTTGCAACGCCAGGCCTCCGGGTAGTACTCGGTGGTCACCAGCGTCCCCGCACCGCACCGCGCGCACCGGCGGCGCTTCCCTGCGCACCTCGGTGGGTATGACCCGGGCCCACCCAAGCTCCTCCGGCGCACCGTAGCCCAGCCCTGCAAACGGAAAAAATGCAACGGCGGCGCATGTTAGCATTCAAGTGAAGTATAAGGTAAAGTACGCTACTGAGACCGTTAGTTGTAGCCGGTACAGCTTAGGATGCCGGCATATGTTAGCCGAGAAGAGATGCTGTTGCTAATTTATGCGGCTTCATGTAGCGCAGTGTACGGAGCATACACAGCGACCAGGTGAAAGGAACAGAGAAGTGTCCGCAGCTTGTCGTGTTAGATAGTAAGTGCTCGGTCATACTTGCTAATGTGCGCTGCGGGCGGAGAGAACTGGACAGGGGCTTAAAACACGGGCGAAGTGCATTTTTACTCATTGGCCTGATATTTAGCGAACTGCTTGATTTTGTAATTAAAATGGCTTAAATGCTATTACAAGAAGATTTTTTTTTTTTGTGAATAATAAGAAAAGAATTAACAAAGACTAAAGAGCACCTGCGCATTAGTATCCAAGCTCAAGCTTCTGATATCTGCCAAAAAAATAAGGCAAAAAACAACGAAACATGTCAAACTTAAATTCAAATTCTGAGGTACAGATATCTAGTTTTACCCTTTTTTTAGCAAAATTCAAATATTTTAAGCAGGATACAGCACCTGTTGAGTGAGAGTGAGAGAATAGGTAGAAGCTTCAGTGGTAGTATAGCATGTGAGTAGGATATGAAAGCTGAGGATTTTTGTACTACAATAGGTTGATGAAGAAATTTTCTAAATAAACTCATTAAACTTTTTTTTAAAATCGACCCCTTGAGTTTTTTACAAAAATCGACTCATTTTCTAGTCACGACATCATTGAGAAAGTGGATCGATTTTTGTTTTAATTCAGTTCCTAAATAGTAGGGGTTGCCAACCCCGACTATTTAGGAGGTTACTAAACCCTAATTACAACCCTAAGTCTTAACATTCTATATATTAAATAGTAGGGGTTGGCAATCCCGACTATTTAGGAATCGGGTTAAAAAAATAGGTCGATTTTTGTAAAAAAAAAACTCAATGGGATCGATTAAAAAAATGAATGGGTTTGTTTAGAAAATTTCTTCATAGGTTGATACTAATATTCTACATTTGAGATTATAAAAAAATAAAACACTCAGAATATTAAAAAAATCACTCAAATTTATGTTGAATTAAGATCAACTTTTTGAGAGACGGATTGACTCGGAGTTTTGAGTGATGCAACACCTACTGCTCAGAAAAGAACGCATGCAAGAAAATGATTGGAATTCGATGGAAGTGCAATGCAATTTAACACAAAATCTATGAAATTAATAAATAAATAAAAAAATCTCACATGGGTATGAAATTAATAAACCCCTCTAGCTTCAACAAAAACCAAATAACAAGTTCGACTGACCTAAGGAGTCATTCTGAGTGACGAGAGCGCAAACAGAGACGAAACAGAGAGAGAAACACCAAAACAGAGCTGCTCTTGATCTCCTCATCTCAACAGAAGCTCACAAAACTTTTGACTTTTTTTTCCTTTTCTTTTCTGTTTTCAAGTAGCAGAAAGAAGAAGATGTAGGGGGGAAAAAGGGAAGCTTTAAATCTCAACCCATCGCTTCTCATTCATCTTTCTCAATAGCATCCCTCGTTTCACGGAGCCCCCCATCGACCAAGACAAACAGTGCTCCTCTTGTTTAGATGCGATAATAAAAGCCCCCTTCTCTCTCTCTCTCTCTCTCTCTCAAATCAATGACTCGACTGCTCTGGTCCCTATCACTGCGACTCCAGTATATTGTGGGAGAGGCCAGAAAGAAGGTCACTTATTAGTTCCTCTGTTTGAAACTCTGTTTCCGTACCCCCCCTCCTGGAACTTGAAATGACATGTTTACCTCTGAATGTTGGTTTAAATATAAAAAATAAAAATATAACCCTCCATTAGTGGTGATAAACACGATCAAATCGAATCGAATTGAATACCACGGTGTTCGTATTTGTATTTGTTTAAGGTTATCAAATTTAGATGCGGGCTCTAACATTCGTATACGGAGTATTTCGGATTCGAACTCGAATACTTGGTATTTGATAAATATTCATGAACGTTCCACGAATACTTAATCGAATATTAGAGTATATTTATGTGAAGAGTCACGTGGGGAGGCCACACGATCCAGCGGACAAAAGAGAGGTCCGCTGGATCTTTTGAGAGGCCCACCCAAAATTGTACAGCACCCTATATATACCCAAGCTAGGTTTTTTTTGTTGGTGGGAAAGGAGGGTTTGTGCATGGAGTTTTTTTTTTTGTGGCTGCGTGTGCAAGCGAGCACGAGGTTTTGTTTGAGGCTACGACAAAAGAAAAAAAAAGGCGCAGGCAGAGAAAAGGCGCAGATGCAGGCAAAGAGATTAATTCTTCGTGTGCGGCTGTGTAAGGAGAAAAACAGCAGCGGCTTTTGTTAGAGTTTTACATCCTTTTGAGAGTGATAATTGTGCGAGACGTTTGAGAGATTGTGTGAGGATTTAGATTGAGTGATTGTAAACTCTAGTTGTATTCTCTCCTCTCTAATAGTAGATCTCCCCCCTCCTTGCCCCGTGGACGTAGGCAGTTTGCCGAAGCACGTAAAATTGGTTTGTTTGTGTTTGTGGTCATTGTAATAGTTTTTTAGGATCCCTCGACAAGTTAGTCCTAGAACTGATGAGAGAAAGAGCCGATATCTCACTTTGTTGAGATATTCGTTTCATATTCTTGTTTCCTTGGTGAGACGGGAATTCTTATTGGATCTTTCTCTCTTATTGTGCACCAGAAACTCTGCCGAAATTTCCGTTGCGCACAACAAGTGGTATCAGAACACGGGCTACGCTTGGGCTATTTGGAGGAGTAGATTGATTTGAAAGCTCGTCTAGGATTTTGTTTGGTGATAAAGGTGGGATCTTTTGGTAAAGACTCTATCTTTTTAGTTTTGGATCTATTCTTCGTTCGTTGGTGCGTTGAGAAAGATGTCGAGGAAAGAAGGTGCTTTGGGTGTTGATGGTGATGATTCTGGCGTGAAGACCATTCAGAGTTTGAATATCCACTCTATGAAGGTAGATGTGGAGAAGTTTAATGGCACAAATAACTTTGGATTATAAAGATGCGAGGTTTTGCATGCGCTGAACGCTCAGGATTTGGAGGATACCTTAGAGTTAAATGGCAAGCCAGATGATATTGAAGAGAATGTTTGGAAGAAGATGAATCGAACAGCGTGTGGTGTGATTAGGTCTTGTTTGACTCAAGAAGATGAATCGAACAGCGTGTGGTGTGATTAGGTCTTGTTTGACTCAAGATCTAAAATATGATGTGATGAATGAGACTTTTGTTTGACTCAAGATCTAAAATATGATGTGATGAATGAGACTTCTGCGAAGAAGATTTAGGAGATTCTCAAAAGTAAGTATCTGACAAAAAGTGTTGAGAACCGCTTGCATTTGAAGAGGAGACTTTATTGTTTCCAGTTGAAGAAGGGAACCTCAATTAGTGATCACATGAACACCTACAAAAAGCTTCTTACGGATTTGGCGAATGTGGATGTCATAATTAAAGATGAGGATAAGGCGTTGCTATTGTTGAGTTCCTTGCCCGACGAGGAATATGAGACATTCGTTCTTACTCTGATTAATGAGAAGGCATCTCTTTCGTATAGTGAGGTGACTGCTACACTTGTGAATTAACAGCTTCGAAAGAAGGATAAGGAGGCTTCAGTTGAGCCGGTAGCAGAAGCGTTGGCCGTAAGAGGGAATAATCCGAACCGGAAGAATTAGAAATCACAGTCTAGAGTAGGGCATCCTATAATTGGAAAAGATCAGTGTGCTTAGTGCAAGGAGACTGGTCATTAGAAGAAAGATTGCCCAAAGCTCGACGAATGGATGAAGAATAAACAGAAGGAAAAAGGAAAGCAACCATCATCAGAAGCAAACATCATTATATCGGATGGTAATATTTCTGACTCTTTTATTTATTCGTTTTCTATCAGTCCTACAGATAGCTATTTGAAGGAATCTGAATGGATATTGGATAGTGGTGCGACCTATCATGTGTGTCTTAGAAGGGAATGATTCTTTAGTTTTGAGAAGCTAGATAGTGGTATAGTGTACATGACCGATAACCGTGCATGTCAGATCCTTGGGATAGGAAGAATTCGCATCAAGATGTTTGACGGGACTGTTAGAAAATTATATGATGTAAGATATGTTCCTTCCTTGAGGAAGAACTTGATCTTGATTGGAGCTTTGGTTGAACAGGATCTGAATGTTCGAATTGAGGACATGGTTCTCAAGATTATGGAAGACTCTCAGATTGTGATGAAGGGCGTCAGGAGGAATAACCTGTATTACTTGACTAGAGGTATAGTAACAGGTGGAGAAGTGGCGATTTCTATTGATTCGACTAGACTACGACATTTGGGGCTTGGCCATTCCAGTATTGATTCCTCGCATAGGTTGAAAGAGGGTGCGAAGACCTGCAGTTTAAAGTTCAGTGAATATGTTGATGTGAGCAAGAAGACCAAGGTAAAATTTAGCACCTCTATTCACCGTGCTAAGGGTCATTCTGGAGGAGTTCACATGGATGTTTGGGGGCCTCCCAAGGGGGCATCATTGGGAGGTAATAGGCATTTGGTTTCCTTTGTTGGTGGTTGTTCTAGGTGTGTTTGGGTTACAACCAAATCCCTATTGGAGAAAGTCCTAGTCGTCTCTAACAGATTGAAGAAGTGTGTAATAGACAGAAAGGTGAAGGTACTTCATTCTGATTTTGGTGGGAGGTACAAGATGGACTTGTTTCTATATTGGAGCCGAGCTCACAGTATTTCGAGATACTTTGTTAGAAAGGAAATCTTGGGACAACTAGATAGGGTGACAAAATTAGAGAACCGTACCTTGCTGGAGGAGGATCGGTATTTGTTGTCAAGCAATGGTCTGCAGAAGAGTTTCTGGACTGAGGCTTCGACATATTCGAGCCATCTTACTAAAGAGTTATCAACTGCTGTGATAGGAGGTAAAACTCAATTAGGTGTTTGGTCTGGTAGTGTCACTTCGGTTGAGGCTTCGATGAGGGAGCTATTTGACTCTCAGCAGGTGGAGAGTTTTGGACAGACCTTAGATGTATCACAACGGGTGGAGTGTGATGCTACTTCACGTTGGGTGAAGATTACTCCAGATCATACTACATTGTTTGGGATTCCAGCTGAGATGACACAGCTTAGGGATCATTTGGATTTGGGTGCAGATGATGAGTTGGGTTTTGATTCGAGTGTAGCTGATAGATGTAGTCTGGATATGGCCATTGGTTCATCTCAGGTGGAGGTGTTTAGATTGTTTCAGTTTGGGGCCATTGGAGGTGCTATCAGCCGTAGACTTGATCGTGATGTTGGAGAAGGGTTGTGAATTCTTCTAGTTGATTGAGGTCGTTCGCGACCATTGGGTGAACTACGTTCGGCTTAATTCCTTGGGCAAGAGGATACGTAGACAGTCTTTATGATGCAGCTGGGGTTGGATTAGTTGG